AAACGATATGATAGTCATTATTTGAATGGGTGATAGGGAATGTCAAAACAAGTCAAAAGTTCATATGGCTTTTTTCGCAAAACTCAATATATTTTTGTCTAAATGACTTTAAAGTTAAAAACTTTAAATGCTTATATCTAACAGAATCTTACGAATATTTATGTGTAACTTTATTCATTTTAAAATATGTTCATTTCTAAATAAATCAAAAGTAGTTTTTCAAACATTGGCCTAAAATCTCAAAAAATGAAAATAAAAAATTCCCTTAAGTTAAAATTTAAAAAACACATGGCAACAGCGCAATGCACGCGCCAGCTCGTGAATAATAGAGAGAGCGCGAATCTTTGCCTAAACCGAGTATTGAATAGAGTACTGAATAGAGTATTATGTTAATTTATTGTTTTAAAAATTAAAAGTTTTTTTTTTATCTCCTTTAATTTTCTTGCACCTAAACAATACATCGCATCGTTGCCAAATTGTATTTAACTTTAAAGTCGAATTTTTCGAAAATCACGAGGTTTTTGCACCCATGTTATTTGAACTTTTTTGTTTGTTTTGACCTCCCCTATCAACCATTTAAATAATGACTATCATATCGTTTACACCCTGTATACAGATAGTTTAAGCTCGTCGTGACACACCCTGTATAGTTACACTACAAAACATCGACCAACACCGGCTATTTTTTCTTCTTAAACCCGCCCAATTTTTCAACGACGCCCGGCGTCGTCGCCGCCTCCTCTTTCCCCGCCTTGTCGCCGTCGTTATTGTTGTTGCTGTTGCTGTTGCTGTTGTTGTTGTTGTTGTTGTTGTGGACGAGCGTGATCTGCAATCGGGGCACGGTCAACGGCCGCGTCGGCGACTTGACCAGCGGCGGTACGGCGGGGGCGGCCGGCAGGACGGGCGAACTGGCGCAAAGGGCGGCAGACGTCAGTTGGCTGACGAGGCGGGCGCTCGAAAAACGGTCAGAGGCCGGACCGGAGGACGTGCGGAACACCTTGCGCAGCTTCGACTTCAGGCCTGGAAGTACGGTTTTTTTAAGGTTTTTGGGTTTTTTAGGTTTTTTTGGTTTTTTGGTTTTTTTAAGGTTTGTTAAGGTTATTGGGTTTTTTAAGATTTTTGGTTTTTTGAGGTTTTTAGGTTTTTTTAGGGTTTTTGGGTTTTTTTAGGTTTTTTAGTTTTTAGGTTTTTAGGTTTTTTTAGGTTTTTAGGTCTTTTTTAAGGTTTGTTAAGGTTATTGGATTTTTTAAGGTTTTTTAAGGTTTTTGGGTTTTTTTAGGTTTTTTAGGTTTTTAGGTTTTTTAAGGGTTTTTTTAATTTTTTTTAGGTTTTTAGGGTTTTTGGGGTTTTTTAAGGTTTTTAGTTCATGTACCGGGTGTCCCACCAGAAGAGGTAACCGGCTGTATATCAGAAACTAATTGTCATGGAGACTTGCGGTAAAAAATCTTATGAATAAATTGGCAAAAAGAAAATTTTGGAAATACTTTTTAAGTCTCTAAAATGGCCGCTAGGGGGATTATCCGCCATCTTGATTTTGAAAAGTCGTTATTTTTCGAAATTTTCCTTAATAAAGGTATCAGAAATTTATTTTATTTTGATATTTGGGGTAATTGCGATTCTATTTTGTTTTATATTTTTGACTCTATCTTGTAAAATAAAGTGGTGGGGGTTGTTTGAACATTGCGACAAATAAATGTTAATAATTTTTAAACGGCTGAACGGATTTTCATAAAAATGAAATTGTTGAAAAGGGCTTTCTTTGGTCTATAATTTACACTATATAAGATATTATTTTAATTGCTTGCTTGGCCGCAAGAGTGCGTTTTCCGACATCACTTTAAAAAACACCGATCTTCTCAAAAAATTTAAATGCAACGAAATAACTTTTTCTTTGGAGAGATATAGTGAAATAATTGCCAAACAAGCCTGTGAAAACCGCATCTCCATATCTCATTCCTAACCTAAAATATATTTAAAAAAAGGAAAATATCTAGAAATTGGGTATATTTTTGGTACACTCCCATTGTAAAAGGCTCTAATTAGCGTTGTTCCATTTACAACAGTATCAATTTATTAAAAATCTTCAAGTATGATATTAGGAACACCAAGCTAAGTAATTGTTTATTCAGTAATTATTGGATTTCACACTGTTTGAGAACTAAAAAATAAGCATGAAAATAAAAAAAAAACAAGCACGCCTTGGGTTAAAGGCAATGACAGTCGGTTAAAGGTAAAACCATATTAAGATTTATTCTTTGTGTAACAATTTTTCGGTGATTTTTGTTTTGAAAAAATGAATGTCCGTTCTGCAAAAGTTTTTAATTTTTCGTGTTTTATTCGGGTTTCGGGTTTTAGAGACCTAAAAATTATTTCCAGCATTTTCTTTTGGCCGATTTAGTCGTAAGATTTTTTACCGCAAGTCTCTACGACAATTAGTTTGCGAGATATGGCCGAGAGCCATTCTTAAAGGACCACCCTGTACATTAAAAACAAACAAAAAACGCAAGCAAAAAATAGAAATGTTTTTTAACCTTATCGTTTTGCTTTTCAAAAATAGGCGACGCTTTAAAAAATCGTAAAATTATCAATAAAAAAATTAGTAGTTTTTGTTTAGCTTATGAAAGGATTATATTTTAGATATCTGGGGTATGCCTTGAGGATTATAATGAAGGTATATAGGAATATAGGAAAAATTAACGTGCGTGTCGCTGTCATCGATGAAAACTACCAATTTCCGTCGATCGTTTTCCACGAGCATTTAAGTTTATATTCGTGTTGCGAGAAATAAAAAGGCATGTCGAAGCAATTACGCTGAGTGCTTGTAAAAAAAATGGGAAATTACCATCGGTCACGAAACGTTGTATAAAATACTTCTACACCCGTTTCACTTAAAATACGATTTGTTTTTGGGGTTGTTATTTTGTTTGTATTTGACCAACCCTGGTCACGAGGCAGACGTCTCGTTCGTTTCCTCTCTAAATAGAGATACAAATTTATTCGTCGAAAAGCAAAGCTCTGCAAAGCTTTTTTAGGTTATTTTTAGTTTTTTTAAGGTTTTTAAGGTTTTTAAGGTTTTTGGGTTTTTTAAGGTTTTTAGGTTTTTTAAGGTTTTTAGTTTTTTTAGATTTTTTAGATTTTTTTTATTTTTTTTAATTTTTTAAGGTTTTTTTTTTTTTTTAATTTTTTTAGGTTTTTTAAGGGTTTTAGTTCATATTATGTTAAAAACAAAAAATACAAACAAAAAATAGAAGAAAGGAGAATATATCTGTTTTTTACGTTACCGTTATGCTATTGCGAAATACATAGATGATGCTTTAAAAAACCGTAAAATTATGAATTCTTAATGTATTTATTATTTATCTTAAAAAAACCTAAAATTGCTGAATTTTCAATTTTAGGTTTTTTTAATTTTTTTAAGTTAGTTTTTTTTTTCGTTTTTTAGGGTTTTTCGGTTTTTTCTTAGGTTTTTTAGGTTTTTTTTGTTTTTTAAGGTTTTTAGGTTTTTTAAGGGTTTTAGTTCATATTATGTTAAAAACAAAAAAATAGAAAATAGTAAAAGATATCTGTTTTTTACCTTATCGTTTTGCTATTGCAAAATAGATGATGCTTTAAAAAAACCGTCAAATTATGAATTCTTAATATGTATTTATTATTTATCTTAAATAAACCTAAATTTGCTGAATTTTCACTTTTAGGTTTCTTTATTTTTTTAAAGTTTTTCTTAGGTTTTATTTAAGGTTTTTTTAAGCTAAACTCCCATAAACAACAAATCGTACTAAAGCAAAGCGCGCGGCGCGCCATCTAGCGTTGCCAACTAATAATTAACTAAAAATCCTTTACACAACAGTTGGTACCGCCCCCCCCCAATTCCCGCGAATCGTATACACGTACCTTGCGATTGCTGCTGCTGCTGCTGCTGCGGTACCACCACCTTGCCCACGAGCATCCCGGCGGCGGCGGCGGCGGCCATTTCGTCATCGCCGCCCCACCTCCCGTACGACGTCGACCGTTCGAGCAGCTTCTTTCGGGCGTGCTTCTCGATCAAGTCGGCGCAGACGTACCGGCCGCAGTACCTCGCCCATTGGTCGGCCCTGAAGCCTCGGCCGTCGTCGCGCAGCGTCGGATTGGCCCCTGGAAAACAAACGATGACCGATGATGCGATAGAGACGGATAGATGCTCTATGGGGAAAAAGATGATAGATACTCTAATAGATGTCTTACACCAATCAAAGATGTGATAGATGCTCTAGAGATGTCTCAGGCCAATCAAAGATGTGATAGATGCTCTAGAGATGTCTCAGGCCAATCAAAGATGTGATAGATACTCTAATAGATGTCTTACACCAATCAAAGATGTGATAGATGCTGTAGAGATGTCTCAGGCCAATCAAAGATGTGATAGATACTCTAATAGATGTTTTACGCCAATCAAAGATGATGATAGATGCTCTAGAGATGTCTCAGGCCAATCAAAGATGTGATAGATACTCTAATAGATGTCTTACACCAATCAAAGATGTGATAGATGCTGTAGAGATGTCTCAGGCCAATCAAAGATGTGATAGATACTCTAATAGATGTTTTACGCCAATCAAAGATGTGATAGATGCTCTAGAGATGTCTCAAGCCAATCAAAGATGTGATAGATGTTCTATAGGTGTCTTAAGCCAATCAAAGATGTGATAGATGCTCTAGAGATGTCTCAGGCCAATCAAAGATGTGATAGATACTCTAATAGATGTCTCACGTCAATCAAAGATGATAGCATAGACCTATTAATCATGGACGCGTCACAATCGGTATTTCGAGGTTATCCATCGTTCCGATGACAGGCACGTCGTGCAACCTAACATTATCGCAACCACCAAGGTTACTGAAAGTGCCGTAAGGAGCGCTCGATTTGCCACGTCACGAATTCTTCTTTTAAATGGAATCTAGATGAAGTTTCGTCGGTTGGTAGATATAATAAATTTCCCGTCATATTGTTGTCAAATGAAAAAATGGGTAAAGATTATTATAGAATACTAGGGATACCCAAAAACGCCAACGACGATGAAATAAAGAAAGCCTACAGGAAGCTCGCCTTGCGCTACCACCCCGACAAGAACAAATCCCCCGATGCCGACGAGAAATTCAAAGAAATCGCCGAGGCTTTCGAGGTACTCTCAGGCAAGAACCCACCTAACCCTTTGGGGAAATATCACCCGAGGAAATCCATCGGTTCGATTCGTTGTAGACAAGAAGAAGCGCGACATCTACGACGCCTACGGCGAGGAGGGCCTCAAGGGCGGCGTCCCGGCCGGCGCCGGCGCCGGCGCTGATTGCCGTTACACCTACACCTTCCACGGGGATCCGAGGGCGACGTTCGCCCAGTTCTTCGGCAACATCGATCCCTTCCAGGACTTCATCGGGTTCTTCGGCGGCGAGAACGCCGCCCGGCGCGATCCCTTCCAGCAGTTCTATCACGTCGACGCGACGCAGCACTCGCCCTCCTACCGGCAGGATCCGCCCATCGAACGGGAGCTGTACATTCCCTTGGAGGACATCCTCACCGGCAAGTATCCAAGTCCCCCTCGGCGATCTTAATAGAGCCTCGCCCGTAGGTTGTACGAAAACGATGAAGATCACTAAGAAGGTGATGAGGTACGATCGAATCGAAACGGAAGACAAACTGTTGACTATAAACGTTCGACCCGGCTGGAAAGCGGGCACGAAGGTGACTTTTCCGAAGGAAGGCGACCAGGACACGGGAAACGTACCGGCCGATGTTGTTTTCATCATCAAGGATAAGCCCCATAAT